CCTCCCCCCAAATTTAGCAATGCTTAACGTGTAAGTGTAACCTTAAGAAAACAATAGATAGTAGGCAACATCATGGAATAAAAACAAATACAACATTAAATTGCATGGTGGTGGTGGTGGTGGTGATGATCAGCTGCATCCTTGACTTCGATGACCAATATTTTTCTCACATATTTTTTAATATATTTGCATGTATTGTCGCAAAACAATTGCCGATTGGGTGTATCATTATTTTGAAGCGGATGTATTATATACACATGATATATATATACATAAAAGTTAATAATAAAAAAATCGCTGTTGGCTTCCTATAAGATTTTTATGCACATTTAATCAAAGGGCTCAAAAAATATATATTATATATATATATATATTATATAAAGAAAATTTTTTTGGTGACGTTTTTTCACTGTGTGTCTTAACATCCATTGTAAATATTTTTCATTTATTTTCCTAATCTTTGTGTGTGCAACATTTTATGAGGAAATTTATACTTTTCATTGTAATGGTTTTGCATGCAATGTTAACCATCCATCCTAAAAATCATGTAAGATATAATAAAAAAAAAAGTATTGATGAAATGAATGAGAAAAAAATTTCATTAAATTATGCACCAAATTACAAGCCTGTGTATTATTTTTAAATAATGTTTCGAACGTTAGATGGCGCTACTTTTGTTTTTTACCTCGTTTTGTTCGCGATCGAACGTCTCTCCATCTGGTGTTAATAATAATAATAATAAATTTTGAAAGAATTCCAGCGACACATCGAGATGTATTTTATTTCTTGTGAAAATCGTTTATGAATTTTAATGGTTTGTCCCGCCCGTTAAATTGAGTTTTTTTTTTTTGGTATGATTAGGGTAATTTCAGAAAATAAGCAACTAGCGAATGAGATTTGTTTCGGTAAACAATTAAAAAGTAATTTTCGTAAGAAAGTTATTGTTTCCCCCTTCAAAATGGCGGCTATAGGAATCGCTTTGTAACGAAATTCCAAACTTGCATTTTATTACGTTTCATCCACATCCGAACGGAACAAAATTACTACGAATAAATGTTTCGATTTCGTTTTATTGTGACGTATTACACGTAAACGAAACAAAATGGCGACCTCCCGGTTTTTTCGCAAATTAAGAAAATATAATCAAATTTTATGTCTCCGTATTTTTTCTTCTTTAATCAGTCATCACGCAATACACTTCTCTATAATGAAAGACTGTTTTTTTCTTTTTTATTATAACTTTTTCATAATACATTAATAATATTTTAGTGTTTTAATTAAAATACAATCTTTTATTTATTTTTTTTAGATCTTTATGATTTTTGTAAACGTCAGTGGGTAAAGAAAATAATTCCACTAAAACTAAATACGGCTAAATAATAATAATAATAATAATAGTTATTATATGACGTAACACGACTTCTTGTGATAAATATAAGATAAATAAGATGATACATAGAACTTTGTTTCTTCAAAACGTAGAAATCATTTGCATAATAATGTATTTACATAATCGTAAATATATATATATATATATATATACTTATAAATACATATACATAATATAC